GTTTAGGGTTCAGGGTTCTGGGTTCTTTAGGGTTTAGGGATACATCGACTTGGGCTTACTACAGGAGCCTTTCTACAGCTTTTCGCGAGGGGGGGGTGTACTATGACAGACTCACACTGGGACTGTAAGGAATGCGGGTGATTAAAGGAGTGCTAAGGTCCCTGCAGCAGCCGAATCCAAAAAAAACGAATAAGGATATAAAGCCCTTCTCAGGCCAGTTACCAAACCCAAACCCTCGTAGAACTGTAGTACCTCTACTCGTACCAACCCTGATTTAAACAATCCATCAAACCCTTCCTCAGACCCCTTAAAAGCCTAAGAACCTAAGTCCGCGTCGCAAGCCCGATCAACATGTCTGTGACCAGCAGCAGGCAACAAGAGTTCAACTACTGGGTTTAGGGTTTGGTTTTCTTGACCTAAACCCTAAGCCCTAAAGGCTTGAGGTTTAGGGTGGCTTAAGGATCAGGCTTAAGTGGGGTTTAGGGATTAGGGCTTAGGGCTTAGGGAACTGGTATTCGAACTGCCCCTAACTTACTATCCTCGAGATCCCACGCCCTGATCTAGTGTTTAGGTTTAGGGCTTAAGGTGTAGGGTTTAGGGTGGCAAAGCCTCCCGCACTCGACACCCTCCAAACCAAAAGCAGCGAGGCATGTAGCCAGAAGCAAGTAACCCGCAACTTAGAACGACATACTGGTGCAGAGTCCGCGCCTATCTCGGAACCAGACGCCTGCATGTACACAAGAATCCACGTCCCCAGGCTGCGGAACAAAAGGTGGAAGACGAGGCCCTCCTGCAGCTGCTCCCGGTGTTTAGGACATTCTTTTCTGAACTTGGGACCCTAGCAAGAATTATGGTTTTACCTGTTTCTTCGCGACAATAGTAGCAAAAGACCATTTTTTGGTGCCCCTAAAATCAAGAGGTTCTGGTTTCAAGGAGAAAGATCAGAGCCACGGTTTAGGGTTTAGGGTTTAGGGCTTGGGGCGCAAAATCCAGTGCGATGGAGTTGAGCCCTTTGCCGGCTTTTGCTCAAAGCCGCGAACTAGCCTGAGGTCTTGGTTTAGGTTTCAGCGTTTAGGTTTCAGAGTTGAGGGTGGAGGGCTCAGCTTTCAGGGTTTAGGGTTTAGAGGTCACACAAAAGAGCCTCGGAGCAAGGCCTGAAGGTGTTGAGGCCCGAAAGCCCACAAGGTCCAAACATGCATTCTGACCACCGTCGTCATGATCTTCCTCCTCATCACCATCACCATCACCATCACCATCGTTAGGTCTAGCAGTCTCACAGTATCGCCATATTTGGGCCTGAAAGCTGACTCTGCAAAAGCTCCCTGAGTGGTGCTGGACGCGAACCCCCAAACCGATGCTAGAGGCCTCCACATAGCCATGCAAATGACGGTGCCTTAGCGGCTCCGTGGGCGGTCTTGCAGCAAGGTGTAGGGCCAGTATGGCGTTTACTGGAATCCAAGCTCCCCAGAACCTGACATCGAAAAAGCCTGAATATGGTATACCGGACTTGAGTGTGGAGCCTGATTCTCCGGGGAAGGAGCCTTTCATACCACACCGGCAGAGGTTGATAGTCTGCATTGCACATGACAGATACTCTGCCAAGACTCCGCTACCATTTTAAAGAACGGGCTTCACTAAGCTTTCCTAGCACACAGCTAAGCTTGCGTTGCCCGGTTCCTGTGCTAAAGCTAAATGATTACCCTAGTACGAATATTCCAAAAGGCAAAAATAAAGCACCAACTAATCCAATCAAAGAAGCAAAAAGAAAGCATAACGCAAAGCATTTTGACAAGCATAATAGTTCGAACTTGCATTTTCCCACACTAAATGCAGGAATAAAGCAGATTGCCAGTGTAGCACAACAGTGGAATATTGCACTCTCCTAACATAATATTTATTGAAAGTTGCATTTTCCCTTTTCATGCAGGAATACAGCAGATTGCCAAAGGTGGAGTATTGCACTCTCCGAAAATAACAATAGTTAGAAGTTGCATTTTCCCACACGGGCTGCAGGAATAAAGCAGATTGCCAGTGTAGCACAACAGTGGAACATTACATTTTCCCACACGAAATGCAGGAATAAAGCAGGTTGCCAACGTAGCACAAAGGTGGAATATTGCATGCTCCTATAATATTAGTTATTGAAAATTGCATTTCCCCAGACCCTAAAAGCTGAACAACTTAAACATACGAGCCCTAATCCATGACGCACACACGAAACATAAGAAAACAGCAGCTTACCAATGTGGCACAACACGGTTTAGGGTTTAGGGTTTAAGGTTTAGGATTTAGGGTTTAGTGCATTTTTCAATTTCGGTTTTATATACATATAATTCAATCATACACATCCCGAAGCATTTGGCTTTCCAAATCTTCCAACATGGGCAAAGTGCCACAAGCTCAACGTCAAAGCCTACATCCCAAAGCGGTCTTGACCGGCTCAGTGTTTGTGTTTCAACTGTGCTCACATGCGACTCTGTGGTTGCGAGTCACTGTCGTGTGCATTCGTGTGTGGTTTGATTTGGGCTTGGAGTTGGTTTGGGGGCTTACTTCCTTACCCAGTCCAACTAGCGGGTAGCCGCTAGCTGCTAGTCGCGAGGCCTGCAGTCAGTCCCGGTAGTCCTGACGACCATCTCAGAGCAGTTGCTCTTCCCCCCTAAACTCCCCTAAACCCTAAACCCCTAAACCCCTAAACCCTAAACCCTAAACCGGCCTAAACCCCACATACTGACAAAATCTTCGAGGCTGAGGCGCGGGAGAAGCAGGGAAGGGGAAGTCGAGGAGTGTGTGGGGCCAGTCTGGGCCGAGGCCCTGGGTCTGGTAAATGTAGAGGCCGCCACCGTGCTTCTTTTAAGGTTGGTGCTGTGACATTTAGGGGTTTAGGGTTTAGGGTTTAGGGCTTCAGGGTTTTAGGGTTTTAGGGTTTAGGGTTTAGGGTTTACTGTTGATGATCGAAATCCTGCATTACCTTAAGGACCCTAAACTATGGGAAGTATGGTATCTTCCTTAATATGGGTAATGCAGGATTTCTATCGTCAACCGCATCTCTCTTGCTGGATGCTTTTTTCGTCTTTGGCCCTGGCGGCCTCCAGTGGGCAGCTGCTTCTTTTTTGGTGCATGCCTTGGGGGGTGCTGCTGCGTGGCCTGGCTCGGCACCTGCTGTATTTTTTGCTTTGCTTATATTGCTTGTGTGGCAGCCTGCCCTAGAGCTAGGAAATCTGCATTTTTGAGGGGCTAAAACTGACTGATGAAAAAACAAAAATGAAGCACCCAGCCGCAATCCTTTGAAACCCTAAGCACTAAACCCTAAACCCTAAGGACGGGGGAAGGGGCCAGCTTCGGGGGCCCAAGGCCGGGGCAGAGGGCCGGCACCGGCTGCCTGGATCAGACCCACTATCCCGATGTCCTACAGCTGTAGACCCTAAATTCCTCAGAGCAAAGGGTTTTCTAGTCAATCTGTCTATTCCTTCTGGGGCAGCTCTATGACATGCAACCCCCGAGCCTAAATCTGCAAGCCTAAACCCTAAACCCCTAAACCCCTAAACTCTCAACCCCTAAACCCTAAACCCCTAAACCCTCTTCCCTAAACCCCTAAACCCTAAACCTCCAAACCCTAAACCCCTAAACTCTAAACCCCTATACCTCTAAACCCTTTGTGCAGTCAAAGATGCCAGGCACCAGCAAAGCTGCCTAAAGCACCGGCAGCGAGGGGAGCGATCGGCTGTACCTCCACTTGTAGGGTTTAGGGGTTTAGGGTTTAGGGGTTTAGGGGTTTAGGGTTTAGGGCTTAGGGTTTTAGGGGTTTAGGGGTTTAGGGTTTAGGGCTCAGGGCTTCCGGGATTGGGCTTCGGGGTCTCTTCTAGGGCTTGGGACGAGGAGGTCGAACGCTTGAAGTTTAACATAGGGGCCTCAAGAATTAGAACAGGGTTTCGGGGTAGATTAGACTGATAATTATAGTAAGGAGCCCCCAGAATAGTATTTTTAATTACTTTGGCCCCTATATTAGAGGTTTAGGGTTTGGGGGTTTTGTGGGTTTAAGGAACTAGGATTTAGGTTGTTGGCTTTAGGGGTTTAAGGATGTAGGGGCTCAGGGTTTAGGGTTTCAAGGGAAGCATCATCAGGAAATAGGGTTGAGGAGTTTTGCATGGCTTTCGGACTCCGGGGGAAGGGTATAGGATGGGTACTAGACCCAAGAGAAACCTAGAAATAAAAAGGGTGCCCTTTTGGGTTTAAAGGACTTTATAAGGGAACCTGAACCCCAAAAAAGGGAATAAGGGCCTACTCTGGGTCCTAGGGTATGTTCGCAGGATCATGGGACTTCAGCGAGTAGGTCATGATTGGTCTAACTCAGTAACCCCACTGGATACCCTGTCCCAGAACCCACTTACTAAGTCCATGGACCCTCCCTTGATCCCCTATACATCCCAAAAAACCGTGCATGCACACCTGCCCGGCAAATCCTGCTAAAGTTCCCCAGACCCGCAGGCTCATGCTACTGCCCCTGAGGTCGCAACGCCAAAACCAAGCACCCGCCTTAAAGCCTTAATCTCCACGGTTTAAGGTTGCCCCTAGACCCTAAACCCCTAAACCCTAAACCCCTATTTTAAACCCCTAAACC